GGGATGGTAATAATACACTTTCAGCTTCCTTAGCCGATTCTTTGTCAGTCTAAATGGAATTTGTTCACCTTGTGATGCCCGAACACCCTTGTTCTCTCTGCACAGCCTTACGGCCTGAGTTTCAAGCCCTTGTTTTCTGGTCACTCAGCGCCCTTTGTCCAAGAAGTTTATTACCTCACGTAAAACAGGAAAAGATAGTTTGGTCGACTTATCTCGGACCTAGGTTTAGTCCTTGGCTACTTGTCTTACTTTCGAGGGCCGGTCACGCTAGACAACTTCACGGTGTGATTTTCCTGCTTGCTAGGGGAAGCAAGCGAAACATGTGCGATTCCGGACTTCACTGCTGCTCCCACTTCCGTTTCCGGGATTAATGCCAGTCGAATTTTTACTTGATATGACTACAGATGCTATCTGTTCTCGTGGATTTATCAGTTGGGCTGGAGTATCATGTCTACGGTTTTGGTGGTGTGCGGCTTTCGTTTACTGGTGAAGCACAGTGTCAGACTCTGACAGGGTGACAAACTAAGCATATGTAGCAGAAGCACGGCATGTGCCCGTTAGTATAAACTCATAACATGATTTCGGCACTGCTTTGTTGCAAAGTCAGTGTGTCCATGGCTTGAAAAGTTGCATTCAAATGCCAGGTCGCCACTACCGAAGACAGAACTGCTGACCTGATAGTCGTCTTTTTTCCTGGAGAACACTTAATTTCATATAAGGTCTTGGGGTTTTGTTTCTAGTCTTGTGACGTATGGCACATCGGCCGCTTATGTGGAGAGGTATGGCAACGTGCCCACTTGGCTCAACATGTGCAGCGGCCACGTGATTAGGTGGGCAAGTCCAAAAAGTCAGTGGTTAGTGTGGCTAGAGCTCAGGTCTAGCAGGATTGATAGAAACACACCAATCGTGAGCGATATATCTAGTCGAAACCAACTGAATGCGATCTCGAATCTATGCAACCAGTCCAACTGACTGGTTTCCTAGAGACTTGCCACACAGAGATTCAGTGAGAGAGAAATAGTTGGACTAGATTTATCGGCTAGGAGGAACAGTTTTGCCAAGCGGATTATTCAAAAATAGCTATCTTCCAACTGTAGAGGAAAGCACATGCAGCAGTACTCCAAGACTGGGCTACCAAACAGTGGGAAATAGATGTTTCCGTTGATTGCATTCACTTCGCAATTTTCGAGGCTTTATACCCCATATAGTTAACATAAAGCTTTCCATTTATAATTAGTTGTGTTCTCTGAGCTGGTTGATTTAGTTGGGAATCTTTAGTCACCGCTTTTTTAATGCTGAGGAATTTTCGGACTGTTTATCACAAGCATGCATAGAAAACACCTCGTCTACTTTATCAGTTTACCGGTTTACTACGGACTTCAAATTTTAGTGAACTATATGGATGCCAGGCAGCGCGCAGAAAATGTGACAAGGGAGTTTATCACGAGTCGGAAGGCCCACGGTGAAATGAATGGGTACCAAGAACTCTCAGAATTCTGTGCCTTCAATTGCTTCGTAATTGGAGATGGCGTGTATAAGCACGAGGGTATTCACAAAGCGACATGTGTTTCATCGCATGGATATACCAAATGTCAGATAATGAAGACGCAGCTTACTGGACATAAGATTTGGTTGGAGATTATATGGCATTTCCGTTATTTGAAGCGGCGCCACCTGTTCTGTCCCGCGGGTATTAGCGCGTTTCAACAAACAGGCCAAAACTACTAGCATGATTTCATGAAAATACAAAAATATATGCTTCAAGAAAAAAGGCGTAAATAGCGAAGAAAATTTTCTTTTCGGCGATTCATTTTCACAAGCTGCACAGTCGTACTTATATTTAATAAAGAAATCACAAGACGACCAATCAGATACTGCTCCGTCATTCTTTTCTTTGAATGTAAACAGGAAATAAGAGAAAAATTAGTTAGTGAAAACATTAGCTGGTTGACCACTCCAAGTGAAGATAACTGAAAACAGTCATCAACGGCGGTTGAAGGCGAGATTGACGGCCCCACAATCTATGAATGGCATCAAATTTACTTATTATTTCTTTATTAAAGTATGAAAACGGAAACCACTACTTTCACACAATATTTCCTATATCCTCGCTGTCCGCTGATCCAAGTGATAGTACATTGTACAAAATGAGCCTTCATTTTCTTCTTCTTTGTACATATGGAATTCAACGGCGAATTCATCTTTGGTCACACATATGTGATTAAAATTGTTTTTCTGCCCGCCATGAAGAAATATCATAAAATCTTTCACGACAGAAATTAACGTTCACTCATTGATCGCGATAAGAATGTGAAAAAACACAGAACTTTCCGACTTAGGGAGTCAGTATGGGCTCATATTGTGATCACGAGCTGCAACTGGAGTTTGTAAATTACACCTAACAAATAACATTCATCTAGTTAGGTTCAACGGCATATGGTTTACAATTAAACTTACTACCAAGCGATGCATAAGGAAATAAATTTCCAACACTAAAAATAACAAAATCGGTACTACGAGATAAACAGATAACTATGTAAACCGTTGTAGGTCGTCAACTCTCCTAGTGGAGTAGATTTTGATTTCAAATTCCTGTTCTGTATAACTTCTCAGGAGTGTGAGGACAGGACTGAATTGGTGAATATTCACTGTCACGCGTCACCTTATTACCGCGATCGCAACCAGTCTAAAAGTTACAGCCTGATTTACTTATCTATAAGCATAGCACTTCCCACAAAAGTGTAGCAGTTGAAATTGCCACACTCCTCAAAACGCACAAAACAAGACGAAGGAAATACAATGAAACAAGAATAGACCGAGGTGCATGGCAAATAAGACAACTAGACGGAGATAACGTGTGGAGGCCAATCAGGAGTTTTGGTATGGTATCTAAATGATGACAACACGTGAGTGCGCCTGGGCTATTGAGAACGATTTTGAGCTGCATAACCAGTAGTCTTCAGCCATTGATTCTTAGTGTCTGAAAGACCCCAGTAGGGCAGTCTGCATCTCCCTGTGTCGTTTAAAATCAACAGTCAATGACTTCATGGATCGGTGCCGTCGCAGCTCAGTTATACTTCAGCTGACATTGCTCGAAGAAGGAGGTGCTGTCTTGGCATGTGTAACACACGCCTCAGCCATCTCAACAGATACAGCTTCACAACCCCATCGACTGATCTTGCCTGTATGCCTAACACTCAGCAGCTACATAGCGCTAATGCCAGTATCAAGTGACATTTTCGGATAAAAGTGAAGCCCATGTAACGCAGTTGAAGCATGTTACGCTTCTGATATTACTTACGTCTTTATAAACGTTTCTGACACAAGATTTTATTTGAAAAGCATATAAAAATATGAATAGTCATTAAACCACTATAGGGACGAACAACGACTCTACACCTGTTGGCGATATTCAGTAAAACAGCTCAGATCAAGAGGGGGAGCGACTATGGGCTCGGACCATAATTTAGCTCAAGCACCCTTGAAAGCCTTGTTGGAAACCCTCAAAGCAACTAAAGACGGACTACAATTCAAGTCGGATACCCAGAAACTGAATGATGGAAATACAGATGTCTCCATTACTGCGACCATCACAGCAAAGTCGGGGATGCTACGTAGCACCACTGAAGAAACCCCTCTGGAAGAGCAGTCCAGGCATGATTTTCGGTAATGTCATCCAAGAGAAGCAGACTGAAAGTTGCTGTGGATGCAAATCTTCGCCAGTAAGAAGCTGGATTCAGGAAAGGGATACTATGTGCAGAGCCAAAATGCCAGATTGTGGGGAGGGAAAGGGCGGACAAATCTTGGACAGTTGATGAAACCCTAAGAGGTTTGGATTTGGCAGGTGATTTAGCTTTCATGCCAGAAAAAATGGAAGATATACAGATGAAATCCAACATGACTATATAAGGGGTTTGTAGTGAAGACAGACATTCAAGCAAACACAAGGGAGAAACGGGTGATGAAGATAATCAACGAACAATAACAGGCAAAGATCACCATCAATTGAAGAATTGTCAAGGAATTCATTTCTTTCACTTGTTTAAACAGCGGCGTTCCTACTGTGGGCGGCGCGGTTGAGGATGTCAACGATATCCAGGATCTGAAGAGTAGAACAGATACTTGCTATTCGGAAATTTGCTGCGATCAGCATTAGGGGCTAGATTAGGGTTTTCAACACCAATGTTAATTCAGTGTTGCTTCCATATGATTCAGAGACTTGGCGCAAGAGTCACCAACAAGACACTGCAGATATTCATCAACAGTTGTCTCCGCTCTGAGATAGCCTGTGAGAAATGATGAGCACGGAAGCACTCTGGCAACAAAGCAACCAAAAGCCTGTCGTGCAAAGGAACCTGAATGGATTTAAAACTTTGCTTTGTTCAGTAGGATTTAGCTTGCTATCATTTGCGTAGTACCGTCAGTACTAAATTTTGGAAGGTCACCAAAAATAATTACATTCCGTCTTTCAGTCATTGAGCAAAAACAACAATCATTATAACATCAGTGCCCAAGTTTTTTCAAGCTATTAAGTTTGAAATTGGTCTTCATGTATATAAAGCAGTTGACAATTTCTTCCTGCTTTAAATCCGCCTTGTGAAGAAGAAATTTTAGAATTTAGATGTATCTAATATCCAGTCAAGAAGATTGTTTAAGGATATCATGTAGATTAAGAAATCACTTCGTGGAATTTACTCTTCAGACAAGGTAGCTTTATGTTCAGCTAACTGAATGTACTTTACTTTTACGCACTCACTTTACTGAAGATTACCTTTTAGTGGCTCTCTTGCACTCTGGATATGCTTAGGGGAATAATTGCACTTATCGTTGGCACTATTCTTCTCTCATTCTCCTCAGATCTCAACCAAAAAGCCACTGAAAACCAGCAGCCGAAATTATGGTTAGACCGTTCCCTGGGGTCAGAAAGGACCACGAAACAAAACGAAACAGACATTTTCCGTGTAAATTAGGAAGATTTTGAATATTGAACTACTGTTGAAGGTTAACGTAATGCCATGACCTCGAGGACATTTCAAACTGTACAAGGCATGGAAACTGTAGGTTGTTACTTTTTTGGAATTTTTATCTGAAATATAGAAAAAGTTGCCTGAGCGTTTCTTCAGAAAAAAAGCGGAGGCTTTCAATAGGAAAGTTAAGCACGCAAAACAAAGAGTTGCTCAAGTGACAACACTGCATAATGTAGCACCAGGGTAAGCTTTTACTCTATTGCTAATACCATTTAGTTCTATTGAAAAAGAAGAGGACGAAAAAATCACGCAAGACGAGATTTTAAAGGAAGTTGACATTGGTTCTGCGACTAAAGTAAGACAATATTGTTTAAGAAACAAACAAAAATTAGCGTTTCGATATTAAACTGAAGTATGGACCATACGCTCTGGATTATTCACGGAATGGCAGGTAATTTCGTATGTCATACATTATCTTTACATGTTAGGTTCCTTGCATTATGTGGAAAATCGGGTCATATTGCGGCATTCGACTGGATGATAAAAAAGCCCCTGTTTGAAATCAATGTCAACAATGAATGTAAAGATGTTAAGTAGGCAATGTCATTCTAACACTGATAGGTTTCTCCATCAGGAGACATTTGTTGCTGTTGCAGAAAAGAACTACGTTACAATATATGATAATCAGGGTTTAGAAGTTCATTGTTTAAAGAAGTTGAATGGAATTCTGCGGCTTGAATTCTTACCTTATCACTTTCTCCTTGTCTCGTCTGTGAGTTTCGAATTCAGATTCTTTCATATTTCAGGCTAATAATGGCTTCTTATACTACCTAGATTGTTCCGTTGGCACGGTCGTTGCCTCAATACCCACATATATGGGTCGCCTTGGTGTAATGTGTCAGAATCCCTCTAATGGAGTAATTTGTACCGGGCATAATGACGGAGTTGTATCAATGTGGGTACCTTCAGAAAAATCCTTTGTAGTCAAGATGCTTACACACCCAACTGCTATTACGTCTATTGCGTGTGATCGCACTGGCAGGTTTGTTTCCTCTCTATACTTCTCGATAGCTTTATAAAATGTTTTTGTTTTTATATACACATCTGTACTACGAAAGCTTAGTTTACTCTCTACAAGGTTTTACCTATTGGTTAGTTATAAGAAGCATAACTTTTGTATCAGGAAGATTAGTTTATAATAAATATTTCCACGAAACCCCATTATTTGTATGTATCCTCTTTAAGACTGATTTCCCAACATGACTACCTTAAACTCCTTTATGGATAAGATTTTATTTTGATAAATCACACAGTTTTATGCAGTAATATTAACTGATGACCACGTTTCGAGCACAATTTATTATTTCCACTCATAATCATATCAAGTCACTCACTCATACAACTTTCGTCTTCCTTCATTTATATACATGAGTGGAATTGATGATTAAACATTTGAATACAAATCAGTAATATGGGATAATGTACATTCAGAAATAATAATAATAATATGAATGTTATTCATCAATTACAATCAGATGGGAAATAAGACGAGTGTTTCTTCTATAGTCATAATAAGCGAGTAACTTGTTAGAATGTTGTGATGTACGTGAATTGAATTGAAATAGAATACAATTTAAGATTATTTATTATCCTCCTCTGATTTGACTGACTGGCCGTAATATCTTGCATATTTCTGGTATTTGCATTGAGTCATTTCTGTTGCATGTGCTGTGTTGGGTGTAGACTCAATGAACCAGGCAGAATACAGTAATCAATCTCTCTCCACCTGCATAGATTACTTCTTAGAATCTTAACCCTCTCCCACCATGCTATTATGTGGTTGTGTTAATGCATGCATGCAGTGCAATGCATTGCTGATCTGTCTTATAAATTACTTATCTTCTCGGGGTCAACCATTCTTTGAATGCCACCCTAATTCCTGCTTTACGAAAAATCCTACGTAGGGTCTCAGATGTTCCCTCCTTATATGGTATGGATTCGCGCTGATTTTAGATTCTTCCCACTTCGTTCTTATTTAACTTTACTATAGATTTACCAGTTGAGATAGTTTTGTTTGACTTCATCTTCGTAATTGGGTTACTATCAAAATAAGAAATGGTTGGTATAGAACAGGTAGATCGCGCAAACCTTTAAGTTCACTCTGGAAAAATTGTTTCCTGAATCCAAAGGCGAAAGCCCAAGTGCTTAGCACACCATTTACTTCCGTCAGATGCCGGATAGTGATGCAGTACTGGCCGGATTTGGCTCCAATTTTAAGGATAGAAGGTGAACTAATTGAATATGTTGGGAATTTCTCTCTAACTGAATGATTTCTAACGGAATCTGGGCTGATTTGGCATTCACTAACTGGCGTCGTTTTTTGGCATAGGAAAGATACATTCACCCAAACAAGAGCACATATACTGTTCAGCAATTTTCTCCATTCTTTAAGGTTATATATACAATATACTTGCAGGCAGTAAAAATTATTGAAGGGTTCCACTTTTGTATATTAGTCCCTACGTTCGATTAGTGCTGTTAATCAATTGCTACATGTATTTACATTGGTAGTGAATCACGTTCTACGTTAGGAAGTTAAGGCAGTCTGGTATAAAGCAGTCTTTACTTTCTCAGTTTGTCAATTCTTGTATTCTAACCATCCCTCTTTACTGCTCCCCATTAATCTTTCCTGGACTACTTAAGAAAGATTTTGCTTTGCTGAGGAGGGCACTAAAAGCCGTTAGTAGGGGAGGTGGGGTGTCGCTAAACCAACTGGTTAACACTTTTGTGGATAGACATATAATGTCATGTAAGAAACTAGCGAATACTATATTGTCAGACCCCGAACATCCTCTCTATACGCAGCTCTCTCCTTGCATTTCATCTGGTAGAACTAGAAGCAACTATAGGAGGCTATATTCCAGGACTACCAAGTACAAAACTCCACAATACCTTATCTGGCACAGCTATTATGTGGTGAGAAATCCGTAAGGTATGACACGATCAACTTACTGCGGCACTCTAACAAATAGTTCCCATTAGCTTTTGTTCTCCTTTCTTTGTTACTATTATATTGTTGCTCACATATTCTATTACACACTAATTTTATATTTCATATCCTGTGGTGCATTGTTTAAAATATGAATGCAACGCTGTTCTTTTTACTATTTCTTTTTATTTATCTATCTTTTTTGTTGTTGTTGCTTTTTGTTTTTAAAATCTTATAAAATTTATGAGGTAATTAGATGGAATATTGTAATGCACGCTGAAAATTCCATACCTGTACCACAAATACTGTTTGGAATAAAGCCATTATTATTATTATTAGTGATGATACCATTTGGTTGCCCTCCGAATTTCGAACTGCTTATCCTCTATAAGGGGGCCTTCCTTTATTTTCCTCTAATGAAATGTGTCCAGTTCCCTGTCAGTAGTTTAGGACAAGATGCTAGCGAGTCGTTCTGATTGTCAATTTATTCTTTATTTTCCAAAAGTATTTGCCTTTCATTAGTGATGGATCACCTTCGGTAATTTTAGTTTAGGTCTGGTGAATTTACGTGCTTCTGAATCAGGTATATTCACAGAAGCGGAATAAACTCTAAGAAAAATCAAGTCATCGTTTGGCGTTTCAGTTACCACTTCCGAATGCGCTGAGGCTTTATTATAGAGTGAGGTAGTCAAAAAAAAAATAATGAAATGTTGATCAAAACGTTAGATGCTAACCGAGGTGTTTTTTTCCTTACTGATATACCTTCAAGTATTTCCCATTGTCACTTAGTGTTCAAAATGTGGTCGGACGACACGTTCGTAGTTTTTACTACTTCTATGAATCTTTTTCTCTTCTATCTTCAACACACTTCAAGCTCTTTAGCTGTGTGTTTCAGGAGATTGTTACAACTTACTTTACTTTACTTCGGCTATCTCCTACGGGAGGATGAGCCGGCTTCATGAACATCTCGAATCATCGCTGCCCAGGCGCGGCGATCTGATGCAAGGTTTTGCGTTGTAAGAGAGTTCATGAAGTTTCATGGGAATTTGGTACGAGTGATGTCCCCAGAATAGCTCGGCCTTTTGTTTGAGAGTGCAGCTCTAGCCTTTACACAACTAAGTGTGACCTACAAGGCAGTAGGAGTGGAGTAGGGAGTCCACTATCCATTGGCAGCCGGTGACCGGAGTTCGGTTCATACGCCTTTTTGAATGGGGCCAGACATCCAGGACATCCAACAAGCCCTTTGTCCATACGTGTGCCGGTGAGCTCCAATAAGCTTCATACGCCAGTCGTTGGAGGTTTGGAATCAGGGTTTAGCCATCTCCCCTAGACTGTCATCCAATAGACAGTCAACCCGGTGAAGAGCGCCGGGTATCCGCTTTCGCCCTCTCACTATGGTGAAAACCACCTCCGCCACGTGAAGGCAGTGAGTAGGACTTCCTCAGGAGAGGCTATGTAAGACGCCCGGTCATATGGGAGGATTTGAAGAGGTGTGCGGAGGGGTGGCCAACCCACAGCGCAAGGCACCCACCCCCGACTATCACAAAATGTTTTGTTCCTATCGTGAAGTTGTTTGTATTTTTTGTTGTTGTTGCTTGTAGTTACATGTATGTCGACAACCGTGTTTTGTAAGGAGAAAAAGTGATCCAATCCTACTGTTGTGTACACTCAGAATGGTTTAATTTCCTGTCTAATTGTGATGACAAAAGACCAGTAGTAGTTCAGCGAAGAGTCTCTTTTCGGCGGCGGCTAATTCATTTTCATAGCTGTACAATCGCAAATATTGTATATGGTTGTTTTGTATGCGTGTGTGTGTACATTAAATTTTTCAAACGAAAATATAATTAATAAGTTCAGATGAATTGGATGTTGATATAAGAGAGGGTAGTGTAACAAAAGTGATGAGTTGTCACAAACGATTGTTAAAGAAGAGTTGCGTAATAACATGAATAGTTTGATGAAAGAGTTGTACTCAGGGTGTACATGGAAACAAAATAACATACGGAATTACGCAAGGGTTTTAAGTAGTTAGAAAAATAAGCAAACAAACAAAAGTTAAGTCAAATCAACGGAGTTGTTACCATGAGAGTAGAAGTGCTTGAACAATTTTCTTTTGTATGCACAGTTCTGGTTCTTCCAACTGAATGGCTAGAGCTTCTGCAATGCAAAGAAGACGGAAACGTGTTGCCTTTGGAAGGTTGTTCTTCACTTTGTAGATTACTTTGAAGCAGGAGGCGTTTGTTGAGATGGAATGACCAGTGTTGACGAGGTGTTCGATTATTGCACTCCATGTGCAGCTATTACTTCCTTTCTGCAGCCATGCTGGGTAGTGTTCTTTTACCCTTTTTGACAGGATGCGCGTTGAACGACCGATGTACCTGGCTGGCTCCACAGCAACAGGTAAACTGATACACACAAGCACATAGAAGTTGTCATGTGCGGGATCTTGTCCTTTGTGCTTCTGTAGATTAGCGGGCGACTGGAGAACACTACTCTCAATGTTTTCGCAAAGAAAGTTCTTCTTAAAGAAGTGGAGATTCTCCTTCTAAGGACATCACTGAGTAGGTCGCCTTTGAACTCGACATTCATATAAGGTATCTTTTTTAGACACGGATAGTGTCTCTTGCTTTTGGATTTTCTGTTCGATGTTTTTTGTGTACGAATCTTGATGAATGACCGTTTTGTATGAAGGTTTCTTTCAGGAAGTGTAGTTCTTCTTGCTCCAGGGTATCAGTGCTGCAGATGCATCGGACGCGAGTGGCAAGAGATCTAATTAGGTTTCTTTTTCGACTGATTGGTACCCAGCTGTAGAAGCTTGTCAGTTGGCCGTTCCATGTGTGTTTTCTATGGATGGTCCTCTTATATCAACATCCAATTCATCTAAACTTACTAATTGTATTTTTTGTTTGACAAACTTAATGTACACACACATACAAAACAACCATATACAATATTTGCGATTGGACAGCTATGAAGGAGATTTCGCCGAAAGGAGACTCTTCGCTGAACTACTACTGGTCTTCTGTCTATTAATTGTGATGACTCAAACAAATGCATTTTCGTGAAAATTTCTGTATTGATTTACCTGTTTGTTCAAATCTTATTATTTAGGTTGGCGAATCGATTTATCCACAACACAGGTTTTATTTTTTTCACCCATTGAATTTCACTCTATTATTTCCAGTTCTCTTTGTAGACTCTAAACTCATGTTTATCACTAAATAAAAGTTTATAACTGTCTTTGTTTCACTATGTAACAATGATGGATGGGTAGATCAATGTTTCTTTGGCTATTCCTGGGTAAGGTGTCGTGGGCCAATTAGGAGACTCTGGCAGTAGGTCTGTTGGATGCTGTCAAGGAATCCCATTCTCCTCCAAGACCCGAGTCTTCATCATTCTGACTCCCTGTTACACTAGAATATATGTGTGAATTCGCATGTTTTAATGTCTCTTGATGAGTCGTTTAATTCCCATCGGATAAAGTTCTTTCTTTAATACACACACACACCAAAGGGCGTGTGTACTGCTCATCAGTTCGCGCTCCGTCCTCCTTTACGGCTGTGAGACCTGGCCATTGAGAGTGGAAGACATAAAAAGACTGGCTAGCTGTCTCCGATCATAGATGCCTGCTTTCTATCTCCCGCGTGAAGTGGTTTAATAAGCTGAGCAATATTGAGGCTAGGCGTCGGTCGAGTGCCAGGTAAGTAGGAGGGGAAATCAATCGACGAGACTGTGAAGTTACACCGATTGAGATAGTTAGGACATGTGTTACGTATGCACGACTAGTCATCGCCTTCCTCGACAATGGGCAATGTTAGCTGGCTGACATAGGATTGGTCAGGCTGGAAAAGAGCTAGCGGCAGTTAAACCAAAACATGGCTTCTTCACCGGTCAATGAAATCCACAACAGTTAGTTTAAGCCAGCCAGCCAGCCACTTAGGAAGGTGGTTGGGGTCCTCGGGACGGTAAAAACCAATGGTTGGAAACAATTGGTGATGTGGCTCAAACTCATCGTTCTCAATGGCTGGCTAGCGTAGATGCATCCACTCCTTGTGACTTATGATTCCCAGTGAAACTATATTGTTCTTCGTTATAACTATTCCTTTGTCTCACCACACCTCTGTTTACTGTCTCTCTAATATGCATCTCTCCTACTTTCTTCTCTTGCTTTGTGTGCTACAGGGAGTGGAGGGAGTGTGGTGACTTGAACTGCCGCACATATGTGCAAAGTTCTATGTCGAAAACAGACAGACAGACAGACTAAGTTTTGCAGCGATACATTAATACTTAATTAGTTGTGGTGTGTAATTCACCGGGAACCCTCGTCGAACCTGGTTTTCAGAGACAGTGATTGTGTAGTTTTGCCTTTTTATTTTGGTTAACACTTTATGTTTCTTCCTTCCATCCATAGCTACTTGGCTACGTGTGGCGTAGACCGAAAACTGAAAATCTGGGATTTAAGGTCCACTTATGACCCTCTTTCCGAAATACTTTTGCCTGTTTCGGCCACAACGATCGACTTCAGCCAACGTGGTTTATTGGCATTGGGTGCTGCCAACACCGTTCAGGTACGTACATCATCGTATTTTAATCGGTAGTTTTGATTTTTTTTTCAAAAAAGCCTGATATCGCCTCATCTGTGCGTCCTCATCATCATCACGTAGTTCCTGTTTTTCTAGTTTAGAAAGAATTACATTCCCCATCTTATGCCGAATATTGTTGTGTGTGTGTGTGTGTACTTGTATAGTCCGTGCTGTTTTTCCAAGAGTCTGTAATTGATCTGAAACCACTACTTCGGAGCAACGGGAAGGACAGACTTTCTTCCGCATATGACCACTTCAGTGTGCATATAACAGTTCACCTTCTCTTGCGGAGCTAGGTACATAGGTCGTTCTATATGCGGATCTTATCAAAACGTATTAGAGAACATCATCCAGCATGGCTGTGCAAACAGGAGGCACTGGTTCAATCAGAAGCGCAATAACTGAACACCTCGTCAATACCTGTCACAGAATCTCAACTGACTTATCATTCTGAGTCATTTACAAAGTAAACAAAAATCTACCAAAGACAGTCAGTGTGTTTCCGACTCCTTTGTACTGCAGAAGCTCTCACCGTATGCATCGAAAAGCCGGAGCTGTGTGTTCAAAACAAACTTGTCCAGCCTTTACAACTACCATGGACCTAATTCGGTATGTTCCTCTATCCTTCAGTTTTTTTTGTTTTGTTCTCTGTGTGTGTGATTTTCTCTCTTTACCTTCGTTCAATTCATTCAATTTCTTTTTTCAGTTATAAAATCAGTTATTTTAAGTTTGTTTCCATGCTCCTCCTGGTCACACTTGTTATCCCGTTTAGAACAACCATTTTACAATTATATTCTAATCCTGTGTAATTTTTTGTTTTTATACCTCTTGTAATCTATATTCACACACACCTCCTAACTTACATTTCAAGTTGAATATTTTGATTTCAATTTGTTTCCATGCTCACCTTCTTCACACCTGTAATTCCTTCTATCCCAGCGTAACTTTCGTCTCTAAGCCTCTTGTAATTAATATCAAGTTGAAAATAATTATCACCTTTTATTCGCCTTTAAAATTATTATTTCTTCAGTTATTACATATTAATTTTGTATACGTTGTAAATGTTTTTTCTAATCCTATACAATCTTGTCTCTAAGGATCTTGTCATCTTCTATATTCGTACCTTCAAACTTTCATATCAAGTTGAAAATTATTATCACCTTCGTTACTGTGTGGAATTAATTAAACAAATAATAATCGTAGCCATGAAAACTTATGTAAATAGATGCGATTGTACGGCTGCTTTTGGGAATGAAATCGCCGAAAAGATCGCCATCTCTGCTGAACTTTTTGTTCTTTTCAATCTAATGAAACCAAAACATCCATGTGGGTGTATTTTCTAAGATAGTTTGATGATGGTCATAAAAAGACGAAGTAGCAACCATGGGTAGCCTTTCTATAATGGCGTCTCAGATAGCATAGTTGCTAATAAAATGTTAAATAATCTTTTTTTATTACAGAATATATAACAGACCAATCATTTTTCAGCAGATGAAGTGTTCCATAGTAGACAAGCAGCATTAAACTCCACCATTTTCTACACAAAATATGAAGTGCTACTTGGTTGTTTTCTGCCCACAATTCTACGTTAAATTAGTGTTCAGCATGAACCCTATTTGTTCAGCTCCTCTTATTTTTTTTTGTTTTATTCAACAACTGCTAATTGCATTTCCATTTCCATTCCGTAATGTGAGCCTTTGAGGGCTAATTGTACGCTACCTGGTTGTGCAAACTTTGGCCGGTAGGGTGGGTGGCTTTCGAACTCGTGACCACCCAGTGTGGTTAAAAGTCGAATGCTTAACCCCGTGGTGGTGGTGAGTTACAGCTGCCTTTCCTTGTATACTCACATGGTGTGGTGAAGAGGCATTTTGTTACATTTTGACGCCTTCCTTCCTCCAGGTTGTGTGTGTGTGTGTGTTCTGTGAGAAATAATCATGTTCCGCATAATGGTTATACTAATTATTCACCAGTGTGCTTGTTAGTTTCTGATTTACAATAGCAGTTGTTGATAAGTTTGTGTATCTGGGTAGTTGTGTGAGTGCTGGCGGAGGGGTGACGGATGAGATTTCCAACCGTATAATGAAGGCTAGGGTGGCATACATCAACTTCAGCTACCTCTGGCGCTGTCGCAACGTTAGCCTAGCTGTCAAAGGTCGGGTATACAATGCTTCGGTGCGGGCTGTCTTGCTCTACGCCAGCCTGTGAAACCTGGCCTCTCCGAGTAGGCTGAGGATGTGCAGTGGCTCTGCGTGTTCGATCATCGCTGTCTCCGGAGGGTTGCTTGCGTTCGATTGCATCATCGTGTGAGTAATTCTAAGGTTCGGCGGCGGCGTGTGTTTGAACACAGTGGAGATCATCATCCATTGAGTGTTGTCATCTGGAAACACCGGATGCGAATGTCATCCCAGAGGCTTCCGTACAGGTCTCTGTTCGCTGGCCAACCCTGGGATGGGATGGAAAAGGCGGAGGGGTGGTCAGTCCATGACGTGGCGTCGTGGGATGAAGGATGTTTGTGCTAGATTAGCATCGGTTGGTGTGTCACGACTCCCTCTGGTTGGGGTCCACGAGATAGCTCGAATCAGTGGCTCGAAACGTTATCGGATATCGCTAAGAATCGTAATCAATGGCGAACGTGTTGCAATTTCCTTCTTCCTTCCCTTCCCGATGAAATTCTTTATCCGTTTTCTACTTATATTTTTATTTTAAATCTATGTTGTTTTATTATTATTATTGTGTGGCGCATCATTCTTGGTGCCATATTGTACCAAGTCCTCTTCTGCGTTTAAGTAAAATAATAAATTTACAATAGTTTCTTCCTTTTTACACCATAGAGACAATCATGTATTGTGTAAATACTTTTTTTAACTATTTCTCTATTTGTGAATAATAGTTGTATGGGGTATTCCGGGGTGCCTAACATTGAGCCTGTTTTTATTAATAATTTCTTTGAATTATGTATTAAATAAAAATTCTCTTTTTTTTGCATTTTCAAAGGTTTTACGTGACCCTCATTCTATTCCCCCAACTAACTCGTCAAAAGTGTTTGAAAATATTCTGCCTGATGTTAATAAACGTGTACTGTCAAATGCTTATCTCTCCCACTACGCCGTGCATCCAGTTCATCGTGTACGCTTCTGTCCTTATGAAGATGTGCTGGGAATAGGCAGCTCTGCAGGATTGTCTTCTATCCTTTGTCCAGGCAGTGCTGAGCCAAATTATGATGCTCTGGAGGAAAATCCTTTCGCTAACAAACGATACAGACAAGAGAGGGAAGTTAGAAGACTTTTAGATAAGGTAATTTGTTTTTTTTTACTTTTAATTGTAAAATACACTTCGTACTTCAAGACTATTATATTTCACTATGGGGAAAGTTAGCCGATCAGATGGATAAAACTACTCATCTTCAAGTATTGATTTTGTAGGGATTTTGTTTGATTGATTGGTTACAGGATTTCATCATGAGCTGACATTGGTTAGAGAACCATTGGAAAACCTGCCACAGGGAGTATTGGGAAGCTGTTTCCTCCGTCCTAGTTTGGGACTCTTCATCAGTACGCATCCGCCATAGAGGGTTCGAACCCAGGACCTTCTGGTTACAAGGCGAGCTAGCTCGTAGACCATTTAGCCACTGGGACCCCATCAAATGGCAAGCCAGCTCATGAATTTCAACTTCTGCCAGTTCACGATATAGTGCGACCACTAGCCAATGTCTTCGGTGGCGAGTATTTGTCCTCACACCCGACCTGCTGCACTCTACAGGTCACAACTTCCTGGGGTTCTAGTGGGAAGTGCATTTGTAAGAATAAGGCCTTCCTTTGCCTCGGAACTGTTGGCACTTTGGGCTGCCTTGATTTTAAACTCATATTCTTATCAATAAACTTTTCTGGATAACCATTTTCACTTAGCAACCGTCTATTATTATTAAGTTCCTCATCAAGACATTCATCCGAGCAGATTGCTCTTGCTCTGTGGTGGACCAAGCACTTTATCAGATTGCGTTTGTATTTCAAGGGCACGAAGCTGAGAAAATGAGTATACTGACCCGTTGATGTAGGTTTTCTATATACACTTCTTCTTATTGCACCATCCTCTTTTCTGGTCATAAGGACGTCTAGAAATGAAATACTAGAGTCTTTTTCCTTCTCCATAGTAAAATTTATTGCAGGATGAACCTCGTTAAATTTACCCAGAATGCACTTTGCTTCCTTCTCCTCATTTTTCATAATCAAAAATGTATCTTCCAAGTACCGACAACAGAACTCAAGTTCAATAACGGCATCCTTCAAAGGCCCATTATTTTCTAGTTTCTCAGGGAAAATGTCGGCTAGCACGGTGGTCCTAGTGGTGACCCCATTGCCACACCATCGATTTGTCTATATAGTTCCTTATTAAATAAAAAGAGGTGGACATTCATTGTGCATTTCAAGAGAAGCTCTTTCATCGCAAATGATATAGGAATGCCAACATCGATGTTTCGTCTTATGAAGAGTTCTTCGCATACACAGTCCACTGTTTCCATAAGGGAATGGTGTGGTACACATTGGTGAATATGGAAGGATACGTCAACAAATGATATCATGAATTTTTATTGTCAAAACATTTAAATCTTTTATCCTTTCAAAAAATCCAAAAAGTATCCTTTACTACACTGTGTTTCACCAACTCGATATGAAGAGGCTGTAAAAGAGCAACACGTATCGTTAGTGGAACAGATATTATTATCATTATTTCCTTTAATTCCTAGAGGAACATAGGGCTTCAGCCGTGCGTGTCCATTGCGTTCGGTTCTCTGCTAGAGTCTTCACCTGGCTCCAACTCTGTCCCCATGCTTTCATATCCTCGTCACATGACCTCCTCCAAGTCACCCTCACGCTGACGACCAACTCACCGCTTCCATTTCGGGTTCCACCTGAGCAATGGCTTGTTTAGTGATGTCACTTGATGGTTTCCTCAGAGTATGGCCAGCCAATCCACCTCCATTTCTTCCTGCTTATTTCATGCACAATTGGTTCCTGGTTGGTTCGCTCATTGCCAGAGATCCCTGTTGCTGATCTTTTCTGGCCATCTGATCTTGGGCGAAGTAGTGAGCGAAGACAGCTGTTGGTGAAGGTGTGTAGTTTGTTTGAGATGCTCTTTATGACGCGCCAAGTCTCTGATCCGTATAGTAGCACCGACTTCATATTGGAGTTGAAAATCCGAATCTTATTTTTGATGCTGAGTGTTGTTGACCTCCACACAGACTTGAGAGTAGTGAAAGCTTATCTTGCTTTCCCTAACCTTGCTTTGATATCCTCGTCAGTTCCGCCTGTAGTTGAAACGATGCTTCCCAGGTAGGTGGTGGGTAGGTAAAGGAGGTTGTTTCTTTCAGGTTCTTCCCATTTATGCTGATAGTTGTCTGTTGTTCCTGTTGGCCAGGAATCTTCATCACCTCTGTTTTTTCTATGTTCTCCTGAAGTCCTATCTTTGATGCTTCTTCTGCAAACATGTCTCTTTTCGCTTGCATATCTTCCAGTTTGTGGGAAATCAAACATATATCGTCGGCGAAGTCCTGATCCATTTTATGCCTGTTTCCTCATTTCCCGCAGTTTGTCGCATTATCCAGTCTACTGCAATCAGGAAAAGCATTGGCGATAGTAGGCAGCCAGCTTGTCTTACTCCTGTCCTCACTTCGATGGGTTCCGTAAGTTTCCCGTTGTGGATTACTTGACATGCAGCATTGTCGTACAGCTGTTGGATGAGATGTATAATTGTCGGTGGCACCCCGTAGTAGCGAAGTAGTTTCCAAATCACCTCTCGATCGACACCGTCGAAGGCCTTTCCAAAGTTGATGAAGTTGAGCGAGGTAGAGAGGTGACTGCCATTCCAAGCTTTGTTCAATGATTATCCGTAATGCGGCGATCTGATCAATACATGACTTGTTTCTTCTGAATCCAGCCAGCCTGTTCTGGTCGAAGTTTTCCATCCAGGTTGGCATGTTTGATTCTCTCTGCAGGATGATACGGCTTGGTAATTTGCTTGGGATGGACAGGACAGCATAATTCCGCGCCAGTTCTTGCATTGACTTAATTAAGTCTCCTTTCTTTGGTAGTTTGAATAAGTATCCTTTCTTCTAATCCTCGGGTACTTTGCCTTCTTCTTTTCACACCTTCTCCAGTAGTGGAATACATAGTACTATAAATTATATGCTGGTAAATAACAGTTTTTCATATAACTGAACTTTTCATATTTTCGTTGTTCTTTGTTTTAAATAGAAAATTATGTTCCTCAGTATTACCTATTGCTTATGTGTATATTTATTTATTTTACTTAGATTCCATACACAATGATCTCACTGAAATCAATTGTCGGAGAGGTTCGCCGGGAGGATATCTTGGAGGAGTGGGAGAAGAAGAAGGCGGCATTAGTAAGTAAATTAAACTGAGTAGTAGGCACATTAAGCTTATTTCGTGGTAGAACTAATTTTACTGGCCTATAACTAAATATGTGTGTATTCATTTGAAATGTTTCTTTGCAGGCGGTAATTATTATTGTTATTATTATAACCTTTAATTCCCAGAGGAATATAGGGCTTCAGCCGTGCGTCTCCATTGAGTTCGGTTCTCTGCTAGAGTCTTCACCTGGCTCCAAGTCTGCCCACACGCTTTCATCTCCTCTTCACATGACCTCCTCCAAGTCACCCCACCCTCGCACTGACGACCAACTCGCCGCTTCCCTTTCGGGTTCCACTCGATCGATGGCTTGTCTAGTGACGTCCCTTGATGGTTTGTTTCCTCAGAGTATGGCCAATCCATCTCCATTTCTTCCTGCCTTTTTGTTTCACAATAGGTTCCTGGTTGGTTCGCTCCCAGAGATCCCACCCTGTTGCTGATCTTTTATGGCCGGCCATCTGATCTTGAGTATTGAGCGAAGACAACTGTTAATGAAGGTCTCTAGTTTGTTTGAAGCGGTAATTAACTATATTCTATTCTATCTAGTCTATCTCTGCGTTATTCGACCTTTCTGCTCAGCGTGATCCGTCAAAATGACGTTAATCAGTGATGAGAACAAACTAGAAACCAAAGAGTTTCCCTCCGCCCTCCCCTCCGAGAAAAATGTACAGATGTTTAGTGCTGACTAGTGTGTGACTACTAGACGAGTTAGGTGTACTTCTAACCTTGTAACTGAAGAAGTCGACCAGTTCGTGTGTGTGTGTGTGTGTAACTGCAATTACGAATCGATGATGGTTGTGTCATACTAAGAGTCACGAAATCCCGGAGTTCATTGATCAATAATAATAATAATAATAATCTTCTTTATTCTAAAACAGTACTTGTGACACAGAATGGAATTCTCAGCATTTTTACTACAGTATTGCATCCAGTTTGTGTACATTATCAATAAATAGAATTCTACATAGATTAAGGAAATCTCAGTTCATTACGACAACAACACATTGGCATGTCGGTAGCAAAGTCAAAGTTGAACAGTGTTTGAAGGTGTTAGAAAAGTAGTTGCTGTCATATTTACTGGCGTAAGCGACAGAAAGAAACAAAGCAGCAATTAACAAGAAAAAGAGAGAGAAAAGGAAAAGAAAGAAAGAAAATGTTGTACCTATAAATGATGTGAGTTGGAAAGACAAGATCCAATTGTTCTACTGACTATTTAACGAATTATAGGTGTCACGCCTAATGCTTTCTTTATCACACAGAACACGAGCTAAGTAGGGTATGGTTGAGTTTTGTACTTGCGGGTGCGAGCATATAGTTTTCTATATTGGCTTCTGGTTTTACCTGATGAGATACAATAGGGGAGATTTGTGAATGAAGAGGGTGGTGTGAGTTAGATAAAATGGATTTAGCCCTCATTTTTCACATGAGTCCAAGTGCCTGTCGTGTCGACCAGAATATTAACAAGCTGGTTAAGTGGCACGTTGCTTACCCTGCTGAAAACCTTTAACATCCTACGTAATATGTTATAGTCTTTCTTCAGTAGCCCAGGAAAAACTAATGGGGAACAATAAAGAATAATAGGCAGAATGCGAGAGTTAACGAATTGTAGGATTAAGGCTTGGGTTTTACCAGAATATTTTAACTTCTTGATGTAGAAGGTAAGACGGAATAGTTTCTTGGAAATCGCCAATGGATCCTAGTTTTGTCACTGTGTAATCTGATTCTCACTGCACTTTGGATCGTCAGCGAGCACTCCTGACCAGGGAAAATTAGGAAAGAGACACAGTTATCCAGTGCTTTGTACATTGTATGAACATTCCACGTCCCCATTCTTACTTTTGCTTTCATCGAGAGAAGACACATCGGCTGACTGGCTGGCTGGCTTCCCGAAGGTTTTCACCAACTCGCATCATTTTGTCTCCAATTTTTTTTAAAAATATTTTTTGTTTAAAACAATTAGTCCCTTTGTTAATAAATTTGGATAGTGTTGTGATTAGAAGACGGAGATTATCTGAAAAATAGTGTGATGTGATGTGTATTTGCGCTATACGATTTCGAACAGCAATCTGATCCCTCACACATTTACTTGTCATGTAACGAAAAATGTATTCATTTGATGTTAATTCTTTGTTTACTAATGTACCATTCATTGGTTAAGACTGTTGATATTCTTTGTGACTACTATATATCTTCTAGTTGTTTTTCACATTTCCTTCACGTTTGAAGGTGAACATTTTCGACAAGTGGATGGCGTTGTTATGGGGAGTCGATTAGGCAGACCTTTGTTAGCGGATGTTTAACATGTCTTATGTTGAGAAATTGTCCCTTGATTTAATTTCTAAATTGCTATTCTATAGGAGGCAGCGGGCAATGAGGAAACAGGCATAAAATGGACTCACACAAAAAAGACCTTGGAGGATCTGGACTTCGCCGATGCGATATATGTCTGATTTCCCACAAACTGGAAGATATGCAAGTGATGAAAAGCAACAAGTTGGCAGAAGAAGCATCCAGACAAGATAGGACTTCCTTCAGGTGAACATAGAGAAAACAGAGGTAGGTGATGATGAAGATTCCTGGCCAACACCAACAGGAACAACAAAAACAGACAACAATCAGCCAGCATAAATGGGAGGAACCTGAAAGAAACAACCTCTTTTACTTACCGACCTGGAAAGCATCGTTTCAACTACAGGTGGACGGAACTGACGAGGATATCAAAGCAGCAAGGATCGGGAAAGCAAGACAAGCTTTCATTACTCTCAAGTCTGTGAAGGTCGACAGTACTCAGCATAAAACTTAAGATCCGGATTTTCAACTCCAATGTGAAGTCAGTCAGTGCTACTATACGGATCAGAGACTTGGCCAGCGCGTCATAAAGAGCACCTCAAACAAACTACAGACCTTCATCAACAGCTAGTTGTCTTCGCTCAATACTCAAGATCAGATGGCCAGCCAGAAAAGATCAGGAACAGGGACTTCTCGGAGCAAACCAACACCACAGGAACCGATTGTGCAAGAAATAAGCAGGAAAAATGGAGGTGGATTGGCAGATTATACTCTGAGACAACAAACCATCAAGTGGCATCGCTAGACAAGCCATTGCTCGAGTGGAACCCGAAAGGCAAGCGGCGAGTTGGTCATCAGTGCAAGGGTGGGGTGAAGAAGAGATGAAAGCATGTGGGCAGACTTGAAATCAGGTGAAAACTCTAGCAGAGAACCGAACGCAATGGAGACGCACGGCTGAAGCCCTATGTTCTTCTAGGAATTAAAGGAAATAATAAATAATATTAATAATAATAATAATAATAATAATAATAATGGGAGATATGTGATGATCATGAAGATGCGAGTCGTCTATTAGACAGACTTTACTCTGTAGAGAATCATATTAGCCTTACATGCGAGGAAGAAAGTCGCAAAGACAAAGAAAATGAAATATTGATGGATACTCTTGTTGAAAACGGGGATATCCTTTAAAATTTTTAAACAGGTGTAGAAGTCAATTAGTCTCTGAACCTACAATGCATACAACCCCTAAGAAAAATGTTTTCATCAAATTATCATATAACGGGGAAATAAACAGTAGAATTTTGAGACAAAGGTATTGAATTCGGTATCATCCGTAGAACCTATTCTGCAGTCCAGCTTGTAATTGTCGAAAAAGCTAAAAAAATATACTCAACTGCAAACCTCATAAGTGCACAAGTGATTATGTCACATCCCGAACTATTTACCAATTTGCATTTGTGTGCGTCGTCACACATACATAGGGAGGAGTAATCGCGCTTTTCATGTGAGGATGGGACAGCGAGCATATCCCGAAATGGTTTGAAAAACAAATGAATTGTGGAAAACCAATAGATGCATTAGGTGTCAGACTACCAACTTCGTCTATAGCTGAATATCTAATCGAGATGAACCATAAGATTGATGTTAACTCAGCCTTTAAGGTCATCTATAAAAACGGTCAAGGGTGCTTATTGAAATACGCTGAGGCTATAACTATTCATAAACGTAAGTACCCCACCCCATCCCCTGTGTATTCAAAACAGTTTATTATTACTCTTAACATAATTGGTGGATGGTGACTAGCAGTGGAATCCAGGATGCGCATTTCGTCCTATTTGGGACTCGTCAGCTAACTGGATGTACCTGCATTTCCCAGTGATTGATGATGTTCCCACCGATGCTCGAACCTAGCGCCCATAGTTTCAAACACCAGCCAAAGCGTTGTCACGAGGGCCACCTCTTGTGCAACGGGTCATATTATAATTATTTAATTGAATTTTAGATTGTCGACTCGATTGATTGGACCATCCATCAATTAAATTCTAATTAAATTCTCAAACATCGTCAAAGCATCTACACAAGAAGCCGACATGTCAACCTGAGACGGAGCACTTCGGTCCAATCAATCGACGGGAAAATCTAAAATTCAACTACACTCTTAACCTACCTTGGTAATCCTTGTTTGACTGGATTACCAAACGTTGTGTTAATCATTCCTAAATCCGTTTTTTGTCACCGTGTTTAATTTAACTTTTTCATATATATATATATCGACTTGACAAGTAAATGTGTCAGGGATCAGATTGTTGTTCGAAATGTATAGCGCAAATACATCACATCACACCACATTGTTTTTCGGATAATCTCCGTCTTCTAATCACAACACTATCCAAATTTATAAAAGCGGGACTAATTGTTTTAAAATTAGTTTATATTTAAATTTATTCACTTAATCTCGTGTTTATTAATTTACTAAATCCACAATGTGTAGGCACCACCAAGAGATGCGTGCGCTACACGAATTATTGTTGTTGTTTCACTTTATGCAGCGGCTGGGATACCACCCGGACGGACGGACTCTCAGACTTACTTACTTATTTTACTTCGGCTATCTCCTACGGGAGGATGAGCCGGCTTCATGAACATCTCGAATCATGGTGAGAGTCGTTTGTGAGGGAGTTCATGAAGTTTCATGGGAATTTGATACGAGTGATGTCCCCAGAATCGCTCGGCCGCCTTTTGTTTGAGAGTGCAGCTCTAGCCTTTACACAACCAAGTGTGACCTACAAGGCAGTAGGAGTGGAGTTGGGAGTCCACTATCCATTGGCAGCCGGTGACCGGAGTTCGGTTCATACGCCTTTTTGAATGGGGCCAGACATCCAGGACATCCAACAAGCCCTTTGTCCATACGTGTGCCGGTGAGCTCCAATAAGCTTCATACGCCAGTCGTTTGAGGTTTGGAATCAGGGTTTAGCCATCTCCCCTAGACTGTCATCCAATGGACAGTCAACCCGGTGAAGAGCGCCGGGCATCCGCTTTCGCCCTTTCACTTTGGTGAAAAACACCTCCGATACGTGAAGGCAGTGAGTAGGACTTCCTCAGGAGAGGCTATGTAAGACGCTCGGTCATATGGGAGCATTTCAAGAGGTGTGTGGAGGGGTGGCCAACCCGCAGTGCAAGGCATCCACCCCCGATCATCCTGAGGCTTTGGACCCTCAGACCGAAGCAGATGGTTGTCTTAGGATACCATTCCACTCTCAAAACTTTTTCTTAAAATCTGCTGCACAGCAGGTGGACACACCATTCGATCCATTCGGATCGTGGAGTATACGTGTGTGTACACTATACTTTTTTGGAATCAGGGTTTTCGTTTTTAGCTCATCTAGGTGTAGGGGGGTGGACCAGCGTGTCCACCAATGAGTCAGTCAGTCCTGTTCTAAACGTCAGATATTTTACCTAATGAAATCAATGAGTTGATCTGACTTTTTAAGAACCTGGATGTTACAATTCCACTTAAGAATTATAAGATTAAAAGAATTTCTTATATTTTGCCAAGTCCCTTTAAATAAAATAAATAAGTAAATAAAATCTCTGAAGGATATTTTATCTAAGAATGGATATCCTGAGAAGTTCATTAATAAAAATACTCTAAAGAAATTAGCCCCTGCAAAACAATCCAAACAGTTCCGAAGAAACCTGTCTATATCAGTTTACCATTCAAAGGAGATGATGTACATGAAGTGGTCAAACGGAGACTCGATAAAGCCATCAAGAGAACTTATTATGCTGCAAAACTTGTTATCCTTAACACCACCACTAACTAAGCGAGTGCTTGAACAATCTGGGAAAGACCAGTCACCAATCCTGGACACTTAAAACTTCTGCGTATATCAATTTGATGAGTGTGTTTGTGGAATGACACAAATACATAGGTCGTACAGAAAGGCGATTGTCTACTCATGGCATGATGGAGCATTTGCCAAAATGGTTGAAAACAGCTGAGTGCAAAGTGCCAAAATCCTCAATAACAAAACATCTTGTGGACTATGGACATGATATCGACGCTGTCAAGTCATTCACTGTTATTGTCAGCAGACAAAGAAATAAGAAGATGCATGCAATTCCGGAGGAGGCTTGTGCAATTCGAGTCCTTGAACCAGGTCTCTGTGTACAAAAGGAGATGGTCGTGACTCTGAATCTACCACGGTAATACGTTTTACTTATTATTCTACCTCTTGTTATTATTCTCATTATTATTATTATTCTTGATTCATTTAAAACTATCCTTTATCAGTAGCATTATCTTAACTCACTTCAACACTATTATTATTACTGTTACTATTGATATTCCTCTGGTTGCAATTCTTGTTATATTCTCTAATGTTTAATTGTTTATCTAAGTGATGTGTAATTGAAGCGTAATGCAATTTATCTTAATTTTGATCTCTCATACTCCCTTCCTACCCTTATCTATTTGAACATGACCTGGAAAACATTCGCACGTGTCTTTCTGCATGACTAATTCAATGTAGTTTGTTTACTTATCAGTCTTATATCTCCCAATGTAATTTCAAAAGTATATACGCATATATCCGTGTATGTAGAGTACTGAGCAGCTGACGAGTTCTACCGAAATTTGATGAATCCATTATTAAATCATCCTGTTTTATTCAACAACCTTTATTACTTGTTTTAAATTCGTATCGGGAAATAAATGTTTTCAAGTCTCTTTAAAGATAACTTACTTACTTTACTTTACTTCGGCTATCTCCTACGGGAGGATGAGCCGGCTTCATTAACATCTCGAATAATCGCTGTCCAGGCGCGGCGATCTGATGCCAGGTTTTGCGACAGGGTTCGTTTGTAAGAGAGTTCATGAAGTTTCACGGGAATTTGGTACGAGTGATGTCCCCAGAATCGCTCGGCCGCCTTTTGTTTGAGAGTGCAACTCTAGCCTTTACACAACCAAGTGTGACCTACAAGGCAGTAGGAGTGGAGTAGGGAGTCCACTATCCATTGGAAGACGGTGACAAGAATTCGGTTCATAAGCCTTTTTGAATGGGGCCAGACATCCAGGACATCCAACAAGCCCTTTGTCCATACGTCTGCGGATGAGCTCCAGTGAGCTTGATACGCCAGTCGTTGGAGGTTTGGAATCAGGGTTTAGCCATCTCCCCTAGACTGTCATCCAATGGACAGTCAACCCGGTGAAGAGCGCCGGGCATCCGCTTTCGCCCTCTCACTTTGGTGAATAAAAACACACCTCCGCCACGTGAAGGCAGTGAGTAGGACTTCCTCAGGAGAGGCTATGTAAGACGCTCGGTCATATGGGAGCATTTCAAGAGGTGTGTGGAGGGGTGGCCAACCCGCAGCGCAAGGCACCTGCCCCCGACCATCCTGAGGCCATTGAACACAAGCAGTTTATAGTTGAAAGTGTCTATTAATTAGAAAGACCAAGCACTATTTAACTGTCATTAGAACCATTTGAATTTGTAAAAGCTGTTTTCAGGTTATTTCTTTTAAAATAGTGTACAACAAAGTAGTACAATTTAAGAATATTTTCAAAAAAAAATTTTTTTCATTGTTTTCCAGTTAGGTCAAACTCCTAAAGTGGATGTTCCTGTGATTAATAAAAACAAAGGCAAGGGGAGATCAAAGCCTGGCCGAATTGAAGCTAAAAAGCAGAATATTCGTTTCGAGCGCAAAATGTTCACAATCAAAGAGGTTTTAGGTGTACGCGAAGCTGAGGAGAAGTTGAAAAGGAAACAATCATCATCATCCGCCAATAAAAATGATGCAAGCACATTATCTCAACCAAGTGAAGCCTTAGTGACAAAGAAAAAATTAGCGAAACGGCGTTTGAAATCTGCTCTTGACGTGTTAATTCCACCGAAGGAGTTTTAATTTCTTTTTGTATTTTTTTGACTATCTTCAGAGATTGTATTTGACAGTGTGATATAACGTTCTAATAAATATATATCTCTACTGCTGATCATATTCGTCATTCAAGTATTGGTTTGTAGGGATTTGGTTGAATGGTTACAGGATTTCATCATGAGCTGACATTGGTTGGTTAGAGAACCATTGGAAAACCTGCAGGGAGTACTGGACAGCTGTTTCCTCCGTCCTAGTTTGGGACTCTTCACAGTACGCATCCACTGCCAGGCTTCGGACCAAGGACCTTCTGGTTACAAGGCGAGCTAGCTCGTATACCATTGAGCCACTGGGACCCGATCCAATGGCCCATGAATTCTAACTTCTGCCAATTCACGATATAGCCAAACCGCTAGCCAATGTCTTCGGTGGCGGCGAGTATGTGTCCTCACACCCGACCTGCTGCACCCTACTGGTCACGACTTCTCACTAGAACCCCAAGTAACTACCTACGTGAATAGGGCCAGTCGCCAGTGAGCATCTCATTGATATTCAACTATTGGTTTGTAGGAATTTGGTTGATTGGTTACAGGATTTCATCATGAGCTGACACTGGTTGGTTAGAGGAACATTGGAAGACCTGCAGGGAGTACTGGACAACTGTTTCGTCCTAGTTTGGGACTCTTCATCAGTACGCACCCACTGGGGTTCGTCATTACTTGTTATGTTGTGTGCTTCCTAGTTGATAACCAACCAGTCTGCATACGTAAGTAAATAAGTAGTAGAACTAGATCAGAACTTATGATATAACACATATTAAAGTTAATACATAAATGTGTAAAACTTGGGCACTGCGTTCAGCCCCACCCACCCGAAAAGTATGCTGAAGGTATGAGGTTGATGACACACATTCAATGTACACTTAGAAGACAGGATATAGATAGATTTTTCAAACACATTAACTCAAAGGTGGAGGCAATTCAATTCACTTATTAATTGGAAAGTCAGGAAGGGGAGCTTCCAATGTTAGATTGCAGCGCAAAAAGGAAAAGAAGATGGGAAGTTAAACACACTAGTGTGAGTTTACACGAAACCCATACATTCAAACAGATATCTGGACTTCCGATCATCCCATCCTATGTCAGTAAAAATAGGATTGGTGAAATGTTTAAATGACAGAGCACAAAAACTAAGTAGTACCAAGCGAAATCTAAGACAGGAAGTGATACACATAAAAGAAGCCTTGAAACTTAATAATTACCCTGATAAATTATTCAGGAAATATGTAGGGAAATGTGAAAATCAAACAAATATTGACAGTAGCGATAGTGATAATAACAATGATAATAATAGTAATATTAATGACGACATGCATGTCAAACATGCACAAGACAACACCAACAATAAGGAATCTAAATCATCAGTAGTATTTCCATACAAGGAAGGAACGTCGGAAACAACCTTACGCATAATTCTTAACAAGGCGGGCAGGAATTAAAGTGACTGGAATTCAAACCAACCACAAACTCAATTAGAAACAAGGTTTGTTGGTTAAAGGATCAATCCCGTGGAGACAATAAAACAAAACAATTTAGCTTATCTAATACCCTGCCTGAGATGATTGTCAGGTCAAAGTATTAGAACAGGGTCAGCGAGTCAGACTAGCCGAGCATAAAAACCTAGCAGCGAAATGTAGATTATTTGACCCGAGTAAGATGAGAAATGTAGACAATAGTTCATCAGCTATCGCAAGCACTACATGCAGTTACACACAACCATACAATAGACTAGACTGGATAAGATGATAGCGTTAAAATCTAATGTCACTGGGTGGTGAGTGGGGAAGACTGGTAATGGAAGCTTTGTTTATTGAATCAACTGAGAGTGAATACGTGTAATAGGAATGATTCAACACCTGCCCACTCGGATATCTGGAAAATTCTACTACCCCAATGACGACAAATAGGAGAGGACAAAGAAGACTATAGAACTGAAGTTTCGAAGTCGTGTCATCATAATTGGTGATATGATTATAAGCAGCAATAATGAATTGTTTTCGAAACTTTGTCATCCAGTAAATACTAATACTGTTTCACTCACTGACTGTGTGATACATATTAAAGTGAATCATTTCCTAGTAGTAATCGGTCATAATTATTCAATGTTTATGCTTTATTGCATATATATTCAGTTGCTCGTAGGAGAACGCTAGGTCGTATATATTGTATGACGTCGATTGTGTGCAGTATTATTGTAAAAGCCTTAATATTGTGTCTATTTTGATGTCATGGTTGGTTCAGCGTGAAATAGACAAGAGACTAATGCTACAACCGAGGGCAGGAGTGAATTTCTTCAAGATGCCTTGTTTGGAGTCACCAGGTAAAAAGACAGCAAGGAGAATAATTTAAAAGACGGTTGCAACGAAGAAAATTTTCTTTTCGACGAAATCATCATCAACTAGGCTGTACATTCGTGTATTTATAATAAATGGATGGGAAAGTTCCAGTATAATTTCTGGTCAAGGGTCAGGTTAATAGAATTACACTTAGGAATTAAAATGCCATAATAAACAGGGTGGTGGGATGGATAAAGCTCGGGCAAAGTAGCATCATAATTACTGAGAAGATTGACATTGATTGTGCAATTGGGGGTTAGAAATGCAGAAATAACAAAATAGATAAACAGGATGCTTGGATAACAAAAAGAATCTAGTGGGATCATAACTAATGTGACGAATATTTGTTTATGCAATCAGGGATTAAATATGTAGAAATAGAACACTATCCTGCCTGGCTAGTAAAAGGAGAACGAAAACGTGTTTGTAGTTCAGGGACAGAACATCTGGTCAATTCAGCGCCATTCGAAAAATCCTTCAAAATAATATACAAGATTCGATAAAATCTATCAAAGGGAGTGAAATTAAGACATCTGGGCATAGCCGAGGCACTAGCTATCCAAAATCTTAAAAACACACTCTGTATCCAAAAGAAGTACGTCCAACCCTTGTCCCTGCCGTGGCCATCATAAACAGATAATTCTTTAAATAGTGACTATCCCATTATCTTTCTTATCTAAACTTCCTGTTTATTCATGTTATTTTATGTTTTTCTTAATCCCTGTCTACACTACCATATTTTCATAACCGAACTGCCTGTCTATTTTGTCATTTCATTATTTCTACTTATTTAATTCCTAATTGCATAAACAATTATTCGTCACATTAGTTATTATCCCACTAGATTTTTTTATCCAAACATCCTGTCTATCTATTGTTGTTATTTCTACATTTCTAACCCCTAATTACACAATCAATGTCAGTCTTCTCAGTAATTATGATGCTACTTTGTCTGAGCTTTATCTGCCCCATCGCCCTGTTTATTATGGCATTTTAATTCCTAATTATAATTTTATTAATTTGACTCTTAACCGGAAATTATTCTGAAACTTTCCCATCCATTTATTATATATACACGAATGTACAGCTTTCTAGTTGACGGTGACTTCGTCGAAAAGAAAATTTTCTTCGCTGCAACTGTCTTTTTAATAATTCCTATGATCAAATGTGTATATTCCATGATTTGAAGGAGAATAATGTTAGGAGAAAACAAGTAGAAGCATAAAAGATAAGCTAATTATTACAGTGGAAGAGAGTGTAAGTCAATTTGATTTTAAATTTCAGATACATGCGTCACACTTACTGTGTGAACGTGAACATCAACGAAATTCCTTGATTTCTCGCCAGAGGGTGATTTACTTCGCAAGTTAACAATAAATGAACAGTTAATAAGCTGCCTGTGAGCTACGTGGTTGAAAGTAACAATAATAGCAGGAAGCCAGCCTAGGGTCTGACCTTCCTGCCTACTGACACTTCTCAGGCAGGTGCATCTGCAGCCGCGTCACTTGCTGCTATAGTCAGGAACATTATGACAGAGCTTTTTTAAATTGTAGTAACGAGTGACGGATGTTAGAATCTCCAAGGATGTATCAGTTTCTCCAAGGCTATTGCTGTACCTGGCTCACCAGTGTCAGTGTGCGGGAAAGTTATGTTCAATGCGTTAATTCAGAGTACACTAGTCATCTGGCTTGATGACCACATTGTTAACTTTACTGGTAGTATCCAGTCAGCACCAATATCAAGGAGAGTACGCACGTTATGCTGGTTAATCCGTAGTGACCAGTCAGTGTAACAGTTCCATTATGGATAAGATTTTGTTTTGATAAATCACAGTGTTGTACAGTAATATTAACTGATGACGTTTCGAGCACAAATTATTGCCACTCATAATCATATCAAGTCACTCACACAACCTTTTTCCTTCTTTAATATAAATGAGTAGAATTCATGATTAGACATTTGAATACAAATCAGTAATATAGGATCATGTACATTTAGAAATAATAATGATATGAGTGTTACTGATCAAGTACAATCAGATGGGAAATAAGACGAGTGTTTTTATGGTCATAATAAGTAACTTGTTAGAATGTTGTGATGTGCTTGGATTGAACAAGGAGAATTAGCTGTGATGTTAGATTGTAAAATAAAACGAATAGAAGAAGGTAAACTAAACACTAGCGTTTATAAAAAACCAACACATTCTGCTAATAGATATTTAGACTTTAATTCATCTCATCCGTTAACTGTTAAGGCAGGCTTAGTTCAGTATCTAACAAACCGAGCGGTAGAACAAGAAAAGACCTAAATGATGAAATAAAACAGATAGAAGAAGCGTTGGTGTCAAACAACTAGCTATCCTATAAAATTCACTAGGAAGATCAGTAAAGGCCAGAAACGAAGCAAAAATAATTGTGAAACTATTAATGATAAGATAAATAAGAGAGAATATAAGTCATCTACTGTTATACCATATAAGGAGGGGACATCTGAAACCCTCCCTACGTAGGATTCTGAATAAAGCAGGAATTAGGCTGGTGGTGGCATTCAAACCTACAAACTCACTCAGGTAGGACAAGCTCTGTAGGCTAAAAGACCCGGTAGACACAATTAGACAAAATAATATAATTTACAAAATACCCTGCAATGAATGTGAGGTCAACTATGTATTCAGATTGTCGGAACATAAGAATTTAGCAAACATAAGAATGGTTGACCCCGAGAAGATGAGTAATTTAGAGAAAAGCTTAGCACTACATTGTACTGCACGCATAAGGACACAACCACACAATACGGTGGGTGGGAGAGGGTTAAAATTCTAAGCGGTTAGTAATCTATGTAGGTGGAGAAAGAGATTGATTGCTGAACCAAACCAAATAACCAGTTCATACAGGCCGTGTGTGACCGGCCTGACTCAAGCAGTTGTGTCCCCTGGGCTCTGCGGTCATGCAACACTAGCCCGCTCTCTGTTTCAAGTACTCGAAGAATCAAGCAACTTCCATGGTGTGGGCAGCTGGGAAGTAACAACCGCCCACATACTTCCAAAAGCACACGAAGCCTTCCTGAGCATCTTTCTATTTCTCTGATTATTATACAGGGATATTTAAGTGAAAATATATATTTCGTAAAAATAACTTAGCGATTTCAAGCAAAGCATTCCTACAAGCAGTATGTTTCATGTGTATATCCCCATTTGTATTTATTATAAATAATAAAACTGAGAAATCGATATGCAGTATTGATTACATGAACACTATACTTCAAAGTCACACTAGAGTTTTAGAAAATTATAACTGTGAACAGTGTATCAGACAAAATTAAAGACCGATTGTGTGTGTCTACCACCTTTTTCTGTTCATTTAGCCTCTAAGCTTTCTGTTAGAACAATAAGTATGGATTAACACAATTCAATATGCGGCTGGTCTTTCCCAGATTGTTGAAGCACTCGCTTAGTGGTGGTGTTAAGGAAAACAAGTTTTGCAGCATAATAAGTTCTCTTGATGGCTTTATCGAGTCTCCGTTTGAACACTTCCTGTACTTCATCTCGTTTGAATGGCAAACCGATATAGACAGATTTCTTCAGAACTGTTTGGATTGTTTTGCAGGGGCTAATTTCTTCAGAGTATTTAATAATAAACTTTTCAGGATATCCATTCGCCAATCCTGGACACTTCAAACTATGTATAACAATTTGAATGCGTTTGTGGAAGCAAATACATAGGTCGTGCAGAAAGGCGATTGTCTACTCATGGCATGATGGAGCATTTGCCAAAATGGTTGAAAACAGCTGAATGCAAAGTGCCAAAATCCTTAATAACAAAGCATCTCGTGGACTATGGACATGATATCGACGCTGTCAAGTCATTCACTGTTATTGTCAGCAGACAAAGAAACAAGAAGATGGTTGCAATTGCAGAGGCTTGTGCAATTCGAGTTCATAAACCAGATCTGTGTAGAAGAGGAGATGGTCGTGACTCTGAATCTACCATGGTAATATGTTTTACTTATTATTCTACCTCTTTTTATTGTTATTATTCTTGATTCATTTAAAACTATCCTTTGTCAGTAGCATTATCTTGACTCATTTCAACACTATGATTATTATCATTGTTATTATAACTATTACTATTGATATTACTCTGGTTGCAATTCTTGTTATATTCTCTAATGACTAATTGTTTATCTAAGTGATGTGCAATTGAAGCGTGATGCAATTTTACTTAATTTTGATCTCTCATACTCCCTTCCTCCCCTTTGTATATTTGAACATGACTTGGAAAACATTCGCACCTGTCTTTCTGCATGATTAATTCAATGTAGTTTGCTTACTTATCAGTCTTATATCTCCCAATGTAATTTCAAAAGTATATATATCCCTGAATGTAGAGTAATGAGTAGCTGAAGAGTTCTACCAAAATTCGATGAATTCATTGAATCCTGCTTTAATAACCTTTATTGCTTGTTTTAAATTGGTATCGGGAAATAAATGTTTACAATAAGTATGGATTAACACAATTCAATATGAACTTTTGAGCTAACGTCAAAAAGCAACTGTATTTATGAAGTGATAAATTATCCGGGACACTTTGTTTTCCTCACTCAGGATGTCTTGTACAGATCCACTGCAAGTTTGTGTATTTCGCCAGGGCCACTAGTTTCCCAGTGTCTATTGCATTACATTGACAGCAGTATGCGCGGGTGCCTAAAATAAGAATACATCTGATCTTAGTTTGTGGATAAATTGAAAATTAAATATATCAAGTAGCATTTTTAAGTCTCATATATCACTGTAATTACATCTTTGAAAAACTTTTCACTACAACGACTGTATGAATGAATGAATTAACTCCATTTGGATGTGTGTCTGCTATAATTAGCATTTACACTAAATCCCTGATCTAACAAAATTGATCCCTTTGTAGTACTTTGTTGAAATCCTTGGTTTCGTAACCTCCACGTTACAGGTGTGTCCATTTCCCAGGCATTTAATATATAATACTTGAAATCATTGAGCTGAAACGGTCTATAAGCTAAACCCTAGATAAGATTTAGAGTTGTGTTCTTTGAGCCGGTTGATTTAATTACGAGGCTTAGAGATCACAACTAAATCAAAACTTAATATTAGTTACTTGTCATATATATAACCCCACCTTCAGTAACTTATTTATTACTTTTATATTTTTGTTTTTATCGTCGTTAGCGTCTTGACTAGCTTCCCCTTGCTGTCTATTTGACTTATATTTCAGGTTTTACATTTTACGAGTTTTTGCAACTTAATGTAACTCCAGACGAATAGCCAAAAGTACACAGTATGGTTTGTAATAGCAAATGATTTCCTGACTTTAATCATTGTAAAAAAAAGGATCAACTGACTCACACAACGTTGTAAAACGTACCAGTGCTTTTTCTAAGTTTACATTTAAGTAAATTGTAATTTGGATAATTCGTTCGTAGGAATAGGTAATCAGGGCTTCTGGTCCAAGAGAAATTATTGAAGAGTAATACAGGATTGTCACATGCGACACACTTCAAACGATCGCATGCACTGGATTTTACACAAATATTGTAAAATGAGGCTATTACCGTGTGACACTATTTGTTGTGATGCCAACTTCTGACTGAGTTCCGCCCAAATGGACAACAGAGCATCTTCAGAACTTAGTCTTAATTAGTTTTATGAAGGCATACTTGTTTTTCAAGGTTTGACAGTGTGAACTGCTAACAAATGTAACATCTTTCTGCACTCTGACCAAAGAGAATTTTCAGTTGACTTACTTCTGAAGAATCCAAATCGTCATCCTTTAAAATTTCGTCAATTTCCGCCATTAAATCTCTGTAAAAATTCCATTGTGGGTACTGTTAGTCTTTACTTGCTCAGCATTTTTTTCAATATCTTAAAAGGAGAGTTTTCCTCAGGCTAACAAAAAATATCTCTCTGCATGCAGCAGAATCATTCAATTTGTCATTTGCAAAGTTGAAGGATTTTACAGTGTTTTCGAAAATCCGCGGAGCCATATGTGTCATGGTGATAACATACAATATCCAATATCGTTTTTACGAGCTAGTATAAACCAATTTGATTTCTTTGTGCTCGCCTCTTGATTGTGAGGTAGAGGTTCCTGATCTTTGGTAAACGTCTGTGTATCTCGTCCCGCCACTCGACTGTCGTAGCTTTGGCTGGGATTAATTATATGCGGTTTGTAGTATGAGGTGTGTTAAGACTGTTACTACTGTGAACGGAGTTGATGCTTTCACCAATTAGTCCTCCCGTATCGCCATCAAACGAAAAGAGATAATAATAGATATAATTAGTGAAGTTATTCAGACTAGCAGACAGAGAAAGAAAAAAAGAAAACGTAACAACAAACAGCTGATTAACTTTGAAGTTGATATATATATCGGCAATAATAATGATAACAAGTGTAGTTAAAGTTGTCGGGAGAGTAGGATGGGAGAGAATCTAAAGAAGTAAAGCTCCACAGACGCTGTCATAACTACATCTACCGGTAAGGAATTCCAGGGACGGCAAACCTGCAGTGAAAAGAAGTGGCAGCGCACCCGGGGCCTTGCCCTCTGATGAGCTATCCTTCTGGGATCTCCAAGAGGAAACCTACACCTACTCAGTGGCAGAACACCTTTGTTCGGGCGATTCTGGTCATTTGTTATCTTGTAGTCAGTAATCGAATCCCCCTAAGCCGACGGTAGCTAAGTGTGAATAGGCCTAATTTCTCTAGTCTTTCATCATATGGTTTATTTCGGATACCCACCACTCTTTTTGTCACCCGTCTTTGGACTCTTTCCAAGAGGTTGGCGTCTCTTCTAAGCGGTGGGGGTGCAATAATATTATGTACTTCAAGATTTGGTTTGACGTATATTTTGTACGAACTTATAAGAGATCTTGAGTGATTGCACCTAACTGTCTATATGTAAAGTGTATGACTGCATGTACCCTCTCTACGTCCCCGTGTAATTTACGCTTGTGTCCATTTTCTCCGCTAGAACTAGACCTAAGTCACGTTCCGACGTTGAGCAGGACAAGCTTTCATTGCACAGGATGTAACTTGAACTCTGCAGTCTACAGGTGCGTAATTTCAATACTGTGCACTTTTTCAGGTTGAAAGCCATTCCATTGAACACCGCTCAGTCTTCCAGAAGCTTTAGATCTGCCTGCAGTCTATCCGAGTCCTCCGGTTACTTTATCGCCCTCCATATCTTCGCGTCGTCAGCGTATAGAAGAGTCAGGCAGCTTAGACGGCACGGTAGATCAATGATAAAAATCAAAAACATCACTGGTCCTAGGATAGAACCCTGCGACACTCCTGATGACGAGTTGTGCCAAGATGATCGAACTCGATTGGCCTTAGTGCGAAATTGCCTTTAGCTAGATAGTCCTTTAAGCATGACAGAAGTGGCTTACCTATGCCTGCCTGGCTTATTTTGTGTAGGAGAAGGTCATGGTGAACAGTGGCGAATGCCTTCTCAAAGTCTGGGAAGACCACATGGACTGGAACATTCACATCCCACTCATGATGTCCAATCATCACAAGCTGATAGTAAGTTAGTAACGAAGGATCTCCCTTTCCTGAAACCGTGTTGGGTTTCATGGAGTCTGTTAGACCTATCGAGGTAATCCCTGATGTGGTCGTCAGTAATACTTTCCAGTACTTTTGATACCACTGGGAGTAGAGCTAATGTCATTTTACCTATCCCAACCCTTGAAGATTGGCAGTTTCATCAAATCTATCGAATGTTGGAACAAGTCACACAGGGGCCTACAGAGAGCTCTGGCTCACCATTTCAGAGCAGATGGCCTGATGTCTCCAGCTATGGTGATTTGGTCATAGCCAAAGTCCCGTAACCCTGTAATGGTGCTGAGTGGCAGCTGGTTGTACTGTGCCCCACAGGTGGGAGATCGGTAGATGCCACCAAGTAAATGATTGGTGTGGCCTACGGTGAAATGACACCATATGGAGTCTGGGAGTTCAATTAGTGGTGGTTCGTTGTGCGTACACATTTAAGTTGCCTGTCAAAGTGTATAGCAACTCCCCCCTTCCTTATCATCCCTGCGTCTCTTGGCCAGAACCATATCACCGACATTGATTTCGTTGTGGGCGATAGTGAGGGTTAACCAGGTTTCAGTGAGAATGATTATTTTAAGGCGTAGGTGTGACTGGAGATTTCCGAGTTCGTCTACGTTTCATCCCAGTCCTCTCACATTGCTATATAGGCAGCTGACAATGGGTCTCATAACTTTAGCGTTTTGTGGGGTAGTTGACTTTTGGTTGTCTGCTGGTAGGGGACTTAATGTTGAGATTAGTTGACCGATTCTGATGGAACCGGCCCGTTGTAGTTTTTTCCATGAATTCAGGTAGGACACTTGGGTGACACAGACTGTTATTCTCAGTACCACATCGCTCTAGGGTCACTGAGGCTTGTTGACGTATTAAGGCCTCAGTTTGCTGCCTCCTCATGGTTCGAGGTCTGCTTTCGCAGCATCGGATGTGTCGTCCCATTTTCCCATTGGTCTCGTACCACCACTGATGTACTATGGCCAACTGCTCCTGGGAGTTGAATTTGACACTTAGCAGCCTTGGAGAATTAATCAGTGTGAGATAAGCGGGGCGAGGTAGCCGGAAAATGGAGATTGCTCCAGAAGCGCCAAAGGCTATCTGGTATGACAGCTCTCTCCATTGCTGTACGTCATGCATGTGTATTTCACAAGCAGTGCCAGTTTCCAGCTCCAGAACACCGTGTACGATCATAGAAGTAGAAGGCATCAGTTTCAGTGACTCCCTCGCCATTTGTCTGTTAGCCCATGGTCTATCACGTCTCATCCTTATGCTATAACTCCTGTCGATGGCTAGTACCTGAGCCAGTAATAGTGTGCTTTCGGCCTCGTCTGCAGAGTCCAGTGTAACCCTTAATGGGGGTGGCCTACTCTGAAGTGTGTGGATACCCCTGAATAGCCTGCACAATTTCGCTGAAATAATGTTCAGACCTGAATTATTGCACAAATTGGACCACTGTTCCTGATCAAAAAGAGCCCATTGTTCAAGCAAGCTATCCTTGCTCACAGGCACATTAAAAAGGATTAGAAAATTAGACCGACTGATCTCAAACTTAGGTTCGGCTTTTGGCTGCTTTTATTCCTTTGCAGGGTCAGTAACTTTAGGCATCACCAGGTTTTGACCAGCATTTGCTGTGTTGCCATGCTTGCTAGTGGACGCAGGTGGTGCTTTGGAAATTTTATCTTTCCCTGATGTTGTCAGTGCAACCATGGGAGTTTTCACTTTGTGAAGACTGGCATTTTCAGTCAGCTGGACTGGAGTATCCTTCTTACTGTCGTTACCAAGTTTTGGCAGTGTGCTGTTAGCAGGTGGGTAGCTGCATGAGACTATGTCGAGACGGAAAAGTGGCGTGCTATTTCCTCTAGGAGTGCCAAGGCACCCAAATTAAAGTCTGGAACAGGAGCAAGGAAGCCCATCAATGTGACATAGGCTCAGCAGCCTCTAAATTATTTTACCAAGAGAAAGCCAAATATAATAAACTTACCTCCTAGAGGCAAACCTAATCGGTTTCGAGTGGAAAGCCAATTATACCCAACCACTACTACTAGACAACCTCGCCTAGTTGACCAGCTTACTATTTTTCTAGCCGATCCCAAGTCCGGATAAATAGGGAGTGTTGGGCTTAGGGCTGGCGACCCTACGCCAGTGAAACCTTCAAACCTCTGGAGAAACTGCAACGCACAGAAAATGTATTAAAAATACAAACAACACAAAGAACTCTAACTAATGTCAGCTCATGATGAAAATCCTGTAAGCACAAAGAACGATCTAATTCCTCGGTGGGATCGGATAGGCGAAATGAAACAGCAGGCTGTTGAAGCCTTCGGGAATCCAGTCAGCTGGCCAATCTGTCCTCCGCCGATGAAAGCAAGAATAAGAATGGAGACGTGGAATGTTCATACAATGTATGAAGCCAGCTGGGAAGGCTGGCCAAGTAGCCAAAGAAATGAAAATATATGGCATAGAAAAGCTGGGCATCTGCGGGAGCGGATAGAATGGATTTAGATTATCGAGATTGTCAACTGGAGAGTCAGTGATCTACTCCGGTCACCGACCGAGACCACAACCACGAGCACACTGAGGCAGTGAGTGGCTATTAGTATGTAACCAGTGGCAGCTAAAGCCCTAATGCAGTGGAAACCAGTTTCATCCCGCAGCATTTTTAGAGTAAGATTCAACTGAAAAGGAAGGGAGGGTGAAAGTATCCAATCCTACGAACAGTGCTACAAACAACGCGGAACGGGAGAAGAGGGCAAACTTTTCAGACGACTACAAACAGTGATGGGCAATATCCCAAATGGTGACATCAAAATCATCAAGAGCGGTATGAATGCAAATCAAACTGGGAGCAGGTAATTCAGGAGGAGAACTCATCAAGGGCCTAGAGGCTCTCGCTTGGTAAAATGAATGATAACGTAGAATTATTCGCAGACTACTGAGCTTGCAATGATGTGGTAATCGAAGGCAGCGTGCAGAAGCACAAGGATATACACAAGGCCAGCAACATTGATTTCGCCTGATGGACGCACCACAAACCAAGTAGACTCCAACCCACTGTTGCTCAAGGAAGTGAAGACGCAGCTAGTGTGCCGGATACAAAGTCGAGAAGGGGAGCAGATGTTGTCTCAGACCATCATCTAGTCCAAAGAACCTTCAAGATGAAGCTGAAATCCCTGAAAACAACTCGGCACAAACCACATCAGGACACTATATCAATCATCAAGGGCTCTATCCGGAAAGAGATTAACCCAGATGATGAAACCAATAAGAGATTTTCATGGGAAACCGATTGCCAAGGTGCAGAAACAACCTG